CAAATACAAATAGGCAGGGATAGGGACTCTCTTATCTACCTGCCGCACATGTTCCCCATATGTGTAAAGCTTTTACCTGAGTGCCCTATTACAGTTGAGGCTTTTTCCTTTTGGAGAGCCAAATTACCTTTCACATCCAACCTTACCTTTTTTCAACTTGCCCTTGATGTTTAGTTCACTTGCATTTTCGGTGTACATATAGACTCATACCCGGCCTATAAATACACTGGGAATACTAGTATTGACCAAGCTTTAGGTCTATGTGACTATGACTGCATGATTTATACCCTCAATTTTCTTATTTTACTCTCCACTCAGTACCTATTAGTCATTTAGAAGTGCGGAATTTAATTGTGAATTTAAGATTATAACATATTTTAATACAGTGTTTTTTGTTTTGCCCAGCACTGCTTTTTTGTTTCCCTTAGAAGTTTAAAAAAAAATTCAATAATTAAGAAATTAAAACTGGTAGATTGTACTATAAAAAGAAAACTCCCATCACTAATATGTTTTATCTTATAAAGTGATTATTGAACAATAACAATAGTAATAAAGAACAGATGATTCTCCTTGTCCTTTTTAAGATAATCATAAAACAGTTAGTGACTTTTGCCAATAGTGAAAAAAGGAAATAGAAGTTGTCATGATGGGCGGCTGTCTGTAACTGCATTTCCAATAAAAATGTGTACGATGTCAATATTCTGCTAATGTCAAAAGGTTTCGCAATGACAGTATTTCCATTAGACAATAAACACATTTAAAACTTCACAGTGAGCGACATCATTCTCCAACTACTTTAGGTCTTCTTTCTCTTTTTGCAAGGCAATAAGGTCCAGTTGCAGATTGTGTGACTTGTGGGATGTTTTGCAAAATATAAAAATTTCGATGCAACCAAAAAAACCACCTCATCTACCCTCCCTCGATGCTTGCAGCTCTCCTTCAATTTTGGTTCGGTGTCATGCTGACAGATTGTTGCATTAACTGCTGCTTTAGGATTTAACTCTAGAATCATCCTTCAAATCATCTTGTTTTCTGATTGTTGATTGATTCCATCCATCCATCCATCCATCCATCCATCCATCCATCCATCCATCCATCCATCCATCCATCCCTCAGGCTTTATGCCAGCTGGGGTCACAAGCTTTGCCGGTGCCTTTCTCCAGCTGTCTACCGGCGAGAGGCGGGGTTTACCCTGGACAGGTCAGTCCATCACAGGGCAACACAACTCATGTAATATTTCTAATTTATATATTTTTTGTTCCTTTTACTGTTTTACCTTTACCAGTCCAATCTGTGCATTCTTTGAAAAACAAATGTCCTTTTGATTTACTTTCTCCATGATCTTATTTCTCACTGGATTTAACAGGGATGTGTACTGTATGCAGCAGGGATTATTTTACTCCATCTGAATGGGTGTGTTGAAATGGGCAGCAATCGTAATGGCGATGAAAAAAATGCAACTCTCTCATTCAGAGTGAAATTTTTTTCCAGATTCAGATTTATTGTCTAATATTTCAAACTGCCTTAGAAAGCTGCCAGTGAGCTTTAAAACTCGCACCTTTGCCTTGTCAAACTCAAGCTTTAACTGAACTCACGTTTAGGCGAGGATGAAACTATATTATTGCATAAAACATGCTGTGCTTGGCTAATTAGCTGCTACAATTAGCAAGCTTCTTTAAATCTTCTCACGCACAGCGCGCATGCGCAGGCTCCTCGGTTGCCATGGAAACGGAGCGCCTCTGAAGTCCCTGCCGATCTTTAACGTTACTTTCCAGCCTGGACCTTGAAGCTGAACTTGCTGCAGTCTGTGGTTTGCTAAACTGCTAACGATGAGCTACGCACCAGAGGAGCACAACTACTCGAGAGATCATCTGGAAGGTTTGTTTGTACTCTTTTACTTTGTTAATTACAAAAATGTTACGTGAAAAATTATTAATTTGATGTTTTTTTTTCATGACCTTGTGGCAGCTAGCTTAGCATGTAGCATCTCCGACATCTCAGGATTAAATGTTTTTAGTCGATTAAATGTTAACAGTGACTTAATGATTTGAAAATAACTTTTATTTCTGTTTGAGAGAAACACCTTTGTTGAATTAGAAGTAAATGTTTGAAAACTAGGTGGCGCTAGCTCTATGATTTTAAATAATGCATTTTGCTCTATGTGGAAATGTTGGGGAAATTACATTCAATAAATATTCAAATATATTTGAAGGACATTTAACACAATATGTTATCAAGCCGAACTGTTTATTTTTCTATTTAATAAAAAAGTGAACATTTTGAGTATTTTGTAAGTTGGCTGAATTTAAACCTGATAACAGCTGGAAAAAAGAAGAAATTAAGATTCTCAAGTTGTTTAGTTTAGTAAATGTGTTTAGGTAATGATAGGTTTTTATTTAGTGTTTTAATAAAGGGTTATTATGTATTAAATCGTGTTTTTATTGGTTGGAAACGGGAGAAATGATAACAGAGATAAAATGAGATAAAAAGTACATTTTGGTTTGAGAGGATAATATTTAACGAAGTTAATGTGGAAATGGTTGAAAAAAATACAAAATTAATTGTTTTAGGATAAAATAGGTTTTGTTCAATACATTAAAACTTTAAAGAGGAGGATTTTTAAAAAATGCTGTGAAAAACATGGTCTCCATGGATACCTTAGTTGAATGCATTGAACAACTTTAGGCTTTTTTAAGGTGGCATATATAAGGTGGCATTTTGAATTTAATGGAAGATCAAATGTGTTAATAATGTTTGACTGATTTTAAAAGTTTGTGGTTCCAAAGGATAATTTTTGGTGAGCTTGGTTTCCTATCCTTTAAAAACAAGGTGGCATCTGGCCCCTTCTGTCAGAGAAGGCCTTGGAGTTTAGTGTAATAGCAGGGAGCGTAATAGAAATAAAGTAAGTAAATGGACCATTTGGAGCGTATTTTTATATTGATAACATCCTGAAAAAAAAATCAAAACCCCAATAACTAGTAAAATTAAGATTTGAATTTAAAATACATTTTTCAACTTTGTGGTAGTCTCGTGATTTAAAGGATATTGTAGCCTTTTTTTCTAAACCTAGCTGTCAGCAAAACGCACATGAGGACCAGCAAAATGTCCTCCCTTTACGACAATCGCTCCTCAGTGTGACTGTGAAATAACAAAAAAGGTCCCCACAATGATGCCGAGGACCATATACACACATATATACATAAAAATATGTATGTATGCACAGATTTATGTTTTTATTGATTAAATCTCCTTAAACCTAAAATAAAAAATTGAGTATTGTGATTTGATGTTCCTTAATTAATGTTCCTGGTCTAATTATTTTTTTCCTCACTGCTCCAGACGCCCCGCTTCCACCTGATCCTGCCCTGGAGTTCTGGATCTTGATCGCGGATCAGGTTGATTTCCCTTTCTATATGAACGTAGGGCTGTTCTCAGATGATGTAGAGGAGGATTTTACTGTTGATGTGGAGTCTGATGATGAGTTTAGGGTCGTAGATGTGGTGATTAATGACGAGGAAGAGATAGAGGGTTCTGATGATGAGGAGGATGATAATGAGGTAGAGGTCCCAGAAGGGGTGGTTAATGAGGAGCAGGAGGAGCTACAGGATTATGATGATGAGGAGGATGATAATGAGGCAGAGGTCCCAGAAGGGGTGGTAAATGAGGAGCAGGAGGAGCTAGAGGATTATGATGATGAGGAGGATGATAATGAGGTAGAGGTCTTAGAAGGGGTGGTAATTGAGGAGCAGGAGCTAGAGGATTATGATGATGAGGAGGATGATAATGAGGTAGAGGTCTTAGAAGGGGTGGTAATTGAGGAGCAGGAGCTAGAGGATTCTGATGTTGAGGAGGATGATAATGAGGTAGAGGTCTTAGAAGGGGTGGTAAATGAGGAGCAGGAGCTACAGGATTATGATGATGATGAGGAGGATGATAATGAGGCAGAGGTCCCAGAAGGGGTGGTAAATGAGGAGCAGGAGCTAGAGGATTATGATGATGAGGAGGATGATAATGAGGCAGAGGTCCCAGAAGGGGTGGTAAATGAGGAGCAGGAGCTAGAGGATTATGATGATGAGGAGGATGATAATGAGGCAGAGGTCCCAGAAGGGGTGGTAAATGAAGAACAGGAGATAGAGGATTCTGATGAGGATGAGGATGGGTCTTTTTCTAGTGAGTCTCTTGAGGCGTCTAGTGACTTCTCTGGGTATGATACCATGAGCTCTGAGGAAGAAGACAGTGTAGAAGATGACCCCCTTCAAACACATCTTCGCTTCATTGAGACGGTTTCCCGTTTCATCAGACTCCAACGGTACCAGGCGCCGCCAGAGGACTCCTCGGAGAGTGAAGAGGACCACCGACCTCCACGGCCCGGCCCTTCTTCCCGGAGGAGGAGAAGAGAGGAAGATGGCGAAGAGGAGCCCCCTATGAAGCGTTTTCGTCGGGACCTGTGAGAAGAGGAATTTGATCAAGAATCTTCCTTTAACTCCTTCAACAACTTCTCACAATGAAGAGAAGCTGAGGCTTCAGCAGAAGAACCAAACATTTTACCATCTTGTTTTGGGTCATTTTGTAGGAGGAGTTAGATGTATTTTCTGATTTGATGATGATTGGAGGTGGAAACAGTCATATCTAGGTATAATTAATTGATTGTGTTTATATCTGGCAGGTCTAGGGATGCCTTTGGTAGCGCCTAGCGCCGTGGCTTTTCTTTACCCCGCTGCTAGATTTAGTTTTTTAGATGATAAGGAGTCTGGCAGGTCCGGGGATGCCTCAGGTAGCGTCTAGCGCCGTGGCTTTTCTTTACCCCGCTGCTAGGTTTTAATTTAAGTTTTAAATGTTACGAATTTTCCTTTAGCACAGAAATCTGAGCAGAGACATACTAACAATTTCTAAAAGGTATGAAACATGAGAGCTGGTTAAGGCGGAAACAATCTAACATGCTCTACGTCTAGACAGAGCTGGACATTCTCCCATCTCTCCTCTAAAACACCAGGATCAAACAGCTCTACAGAGCTGAATGACTGATGAGGGAATTCAGACCTTTGATTCAGGTCTGATGGAGAAGAGATGTGACTGAAAGCTGCAGCATAGCAGCTCTGGAGGAGTGGAGCTGGAAAGCCCTGATCTATAGAAGGACAATGCTGCTGGAGACAAACTAGATCTAGAATAGAACAGTGGCAAAGATGTGGTGGTCACCAGTTGCACTGGTCTCTGGGATGATGGTGAGAAGATAAAGATGATGCTTGGAGGGACTAATTGATTTCAGAGCAGTTTGAAGCAGAGGAAAGGACTGATTTAGGGATGTGGATTGTGAATGGCGCCGACTGTTAGAACCCGCTTTCAGCTGTGAGTTGATCTAGTTCTAGATGTTCCTCAGTTAGTTTTCAGCCCTAGTTTAAGGGAAAGAACCCTGTGCAGAAATATTCTCCATGTGATCTGTGCCAGTTCTGACCGCAGTGGATCTCTTCTTTGTTTGTGAATCCCATGTCGGACCGAGCCGCTACAAGCTTTGGGCCGTCAGAAAACGCTGAAGAGATCTACGGCGACCAAACCGGAGGAGCAGTAAACAGTGAGAGCATGTTCAGTAAGGAGACACAATAATCCATCATTTAAATATTAAGTCAACATTTCAGGTGGTCTCACTTAGTTTTTCATGTATTTTCAGGAACTGTGGACGTCCAAAATCAGAACTGCTGTGAGGAACCGGGACATCCAGGATGCTGAGGAGCCTCCTAGTCCCCACCTGAGGACGGCACAGAGGAGAACACGTGCAGTAAGCCTTTATTAACACGACAAACAGACAACTCAAGCTTCCAGGCAGAACACAGAGAGACCAAGATGACTATTTGAACAACATCCTGCCCCAGATTTAAACTTGGTGTCAGGAAATTCTGTAGATTAATTTAGCTTCTTTTTTACAGGAGAAGCAGGTTGAATATGGAAGCAGCGTTCTAACAGTCGGATCTCAGTGGAACAGAGTCCATCCACACGTATTTGGAGGTATGTTGGTTGTTTGACTATAGAGGCATCACATGCAGACAGTTTATGACTCTGAGGACACTTTGCTTTCATTGATGAAGGAGCTGAAGCAGAGGATGGAGAACACAGACCACCAAGGAGGAGAAACATGGCTGCCCTGCTCGACGACCCCACAGCTAAACCATCAGTCTGCTCCACCCAGAAAGAAGGTAAAGAACCTTTATTGCTTCCAGATGTTCATCAGTGGTGGAGAAGACAATAAAAACAAATCCATAACAAATAGATTCAAAAGCCAAAACCATCCCATCAAGGTGGTCTAACCTTTAATTCTTCTTTCCATCATGAAGGGATGTTCACCTCAATTTATCTCTATAACCAAAACTTTACCAGAACCAGAAGTTCTGACTTTTCCATTAGACCACAGATAAACAGTTAAGAAGCAGCTTCTGATCCAATATGGGAGAATTTCCCCCTGGTTGATGTCTGAAGGGTTTTTAGAACTTATTAAAGCAGAGAAACGACCCTGATGAAACGGACTGTAGACTCCAACAAATGCAGCATTTTCAGGCATTTTCTCCAAGCATCCATTGTCTACTGTTATCACTGCTGTTAACTTTAGCTTCTCCCTGTGTGTTTCCCTCTTCTCTCCGTTAAATTGACACCTCTCTCAGTGTTTCTGTGTTTAAATGTCACTGACTAGCGTGTTCTCTCACTAACTCCTGTTCTTCTCTTCCAGCAGATTTCTTCCGTCGTCTCCTCGTTGGACCGGCACCTCTTGGACGTCTGCTGTCCTGTTAAAGACCCGCTCTGCCGCAGTAGATGGGCGCTGACATGGAGCCACGTTCTGCTGGAGGATCCTTCCTGCTTAAAGCTAGTTTTCCTCTCTACTGTCACCACTTCATTGCGAGGAAATGCGGTTGGCTGAGCTTCTTTGGATTGAAGACATTTCTCTAAACGCCAAAATAGACTGAATTTATCTTTACCATATTGTAAAAAGGATGTAATTGGATTTTTATGATTGATTTCATTCTGTGTTTGTGTTGAATTGTGTTACATGTTTCTGTTTTAAAGCTCTCGTGTAAATTGCCTTTAGATTACTTGTTTTTATTTCACTAGACTAAATTATATTAAATCCTGCCTACTGGTTCTGTTTCTACTAAGGGATCCTTCCTTTTATTTTATATTCACCTGTTATTTTTTACTATAATAAAGCTTTGATTTAAGTCATTTGAACAGGATCTGTTGGTCTTTTTTAGTAAATGTTGTTGAAATAAGTGGTTGTAAATGGGTTCTTTATAAATAAACCAAACTGAAGTCAACAGGAGCTCTAATATTACTATATGTGAGGTAGTATGGTCAAGGATCAGCAAGGTGAACAAAACAAACAGCATCAGCCTCCAGTTCCAGATTCCTCTGAGGATTTTTATTCAGCACTTTTCCCTCTGACAACCATCTCCCTGAGCTTCCAAGATCTCAGTGCCTGTATAACCAGTTGGCAACACACCTGCACTGGAGTGGACCGAGCCACAATTAAACAGGTAGAAAACAAACAAAGTCTAAACAGAGAAACAAGAATAAAATGATTAATCTAATTTACAAACTCATCTACATAATGAAACAGTCTACAAAATAAACATTGTGATTGAAGATAACTCAAAAAATTACTTTAAAAAAAAAACAAAGTATTACCCCAAAGAAAACCCCTCTAAATGGAAGAACCCAGCAAGGCACTGAAGTGTAATTTATGCATTTTATACTGTAAAAAAAATCAATATACCAACAAAGTAGTTTCACAAATATAGTTGAAATTGTAATATGGTATTCTGTTGGAATGGTGGCTCTTCTACTCCTCTGTAGAAACAGAAATAGGTCTCTGGTGTCTTTTTAGACCTCTGAATGTTGTTTAAAAAAAAAAGCTAAATGTTGGAACCGTAAATTATTACCAGTCTTACGGTGTGTTCTTAAAGTCTTTTAACCTTTTTACATTATCTGTTTCATCACTTCTTTATAATTTAAGTAAACTTAGAACAACTTCTCAGTGACATCAGTTTATTTTTAGAGAAGCAAGTATTTACAATAAACTATTAAAAACATTTTTAACTATTTACATTAGATTTTACAATTAACTACTACAACTATTTACAGAAGATATAAAATAAATATTACTAGAGAAAATATATATATACAATTGTGACTGAGCAGGAGTCCCTGGTGGTGCTGCTGGACTGGATACGATGCCACACAGATGAGCTTGGAGTCTTCTGACTGTGAGTGGGACATCATATGGGGGGATGGGGGGTGCCTCTCTCCACTGTTCACCACATCGTCCATCAGGGTTTGCAGGGCTGACCCAATCGACGGCTGCCATGTTACTAAAAAAGTTTAAAAAGACGCAGAAAATAATGACTTTACTAAAAGAGTTTTCATAACCCTTAAATAAGAACAGCCAAAATGTGATTCTACTTGCCATCAAATGTAACGGTGGTCGGGTAGACCCTCTTCCAGGGGCAGACACCTCAGCAGACAGCTGGTCCCTCCATGGAGCACCACTGACTGCCTCCAACACGTTCTCCCCTCCTCATCCTCTGGTATGTCATCCTCTGGGGCCGTGATGTCACCAGCTTCCAGGCAGATGCTGTGCAGGATAGCACATGCTGTTATGACCTGTAGAAAAAAAAGACAAAAATATTTACTTTTATTCAGTCATCTATCTTTTTTTCATTATCTTTATTACATGATTTATTAGAAATTCAATTTTACTTGATCTAGATCCACTATTTAATTTATTTTTTTCGTTTTTATATTTAGACTTTTTTCCTGTATTATGTTTTTTTATATACATAATTGCAAATAAAATCAGGCAGTAAGGGGATAACAATTTAGACAAAAAAATATTTATTTCTCAACAGTTTGGCTTCTCAACACAACATTAGTGATAGTGAAAGTAGTTATTTAAGTCAGTTATTTACAGGGTTTGTACACATTTAACTATTCAATTCAAATTACTAAAGTTACAAACAAATAAATTACAAACTTACAAATAACTATAAAATTTGATATTTAAACATATTCATCAATCTGCTGACAAGCGTTTATTTAATAGCTGGTATATTCTGATCATTAGCAGGCCTCTGTGGGTTAGAATAATAGCAGGTAAATGTTACCTCTCCACTGCGCTCTGCCAGCCTGAGAAAAATCCATCACCAGTTTTGCTGCCGCCGAAGCCGTCAAAGCCGACTCTCCTCCTCCAATAACAAGTAAATAAATAAAATAAAATAAAAATTTCCATATCCATTTTTTTTTTGTTTAGTTGTTTTTTTCCGTGTTTCTCGAGCTGTCGGATTTTGTTTGGCGCTGTTTTTGGGGTAGATGTTTTGGGGTTGTCGTATCGCAACCAGGAAGTGCGCCAAAGGCTAGACCGTCCCATTTACCAATGGCTGAGGATCCTCCGGAGCAGCCTACCAAGGCTGGGTCCTCCGGAGGCTAGGTAGGCTGGGTCCTCCGAAGTACGCAGCCTGCGAATTGAGACGCAGCTTGCGAGTAATTCCACTTCTGGGCTACATATCTGCTGCTTCACGTGAATATGAGTCGAGCTGCACCATCTGTCATTCACAAATACCGCCAGACCCCCTCCTCTCTTTTTTCCGCTAAAACATCATTGCCTTTCATGCTTGTTGTTTCAGGCATCATAGCGTCCTTTTCCAGATCAAACCGAAAATTTTACCAGCTAGATAATAATAATAATAATGATAATAATAATAAAAATAACAAAAATAGTATAACAATACGCCTATTATTATAAGACTCATGGGACGCCGAAAATGGACTCAGACTGCCACCTATTGGCTATAGTAGTCACATGTTTTTCACGCAATTCGTGAAACACGGAGAGCGTGAGTGAAGTGTCCATTTCCAACCAGGACCCACTGTAGCTCACAAATGTACCAACTAGAAACTTTCCTTCCTCCTCACAGAAACTTTAATCCTGCTCACCTTCCCATATTAAGGAGTTGCTCCTTATCAAGAGATAAGGAAAAAAACTTACCTCAGTTAGCCTACCAAAGTATTCCATGCATCCATCCATCCATCTTCCTCTGCTTATCCGGGGTCGGGTCGCGGGGGCAGCAGCTTAAGAAGGGAGGCCCAGACTTCCCTCTCCCCAGCAACTTCTTCCAGCTCTTCAGGAGGAACCCCAAGGCGTTCCCAGGCCAGCCAAAAAACATAGTCTCTCCAGCGTGTCCTGGGTCTTCCCCTGGGCCTCCCCCCGTTGGGACGTGCCCGTAACACCTCACCAGGGAGGCGTCCAGGAGGCATCCTAAACAGATTCCCAAGCCACTTCAACTGGCTCCTCTCGACGTGGAGGAGCAGCGGCTCTACTCCGAGTCCCTCCCGGATGACCGAGCTTCTCACCCTATCTCTAAGGGAGAGCCCAGCCACCCTACGGAGGAAACCCATTTCGGCCGCTTGTATCCGCGATCTCGTTCTTTCGGTCATGACCCAGAGTTCATGACCATAGATGAGGGTAGGAACGTACTGTAGATCGACCGGTAAATCGAGAGCTTCGCTTTTTGACTCAGCTCTCTCTTCACCACGACGTGAAGTGTAAAATAAGATGAGAATAAAATACGATAAGAATAAAATAAGTACCAAATTACAATTATTGCAGATGACTGTGTTTTTTGCGAATAGCGAAGTAATGAAATAAATAAATAAATAAATAAGAAGAAATTAAATGAAATGAAATGTGATGACATCTGCTGTTAATTGGTCTCATATACTGTAATAAAACTGAACTGATACCTAATTTTTAAAAATCTTTTTATACAGGTTTTCACAAAATAAACAAACTTCAGACAACAGTTTGAATGAATTTGAGGCATATCAACTATTAATGTTTTTCTCTTTGGGAAATCGCCAGCAGCAAAAAATAAAAGTGGATATGATTAGCAATTTCATCTTATTTTTTCTTAGTGAGATGTCTTTAAAAATTTCACATACATTACACAAACTGTGCACTATAAAGATGTCCCCAGGTTACAGGCAGGCAAAAGTCACTTTATAAAGGAAATAAGGGACTTTTGTTTGAATCATATACAACTGCATATAAAAACTGTTTGGGACATCATTGTCTTGTAATATTATTATTACTTTTTTTTTTGGATAC